TTCAAATACAAATACGTTATTTTAATTTTCGTAAATTTGTTTAAATATGAATGCAATTTTCAAATACGTTATTTTAATTTTCGTAAATTTGTTTAAATATGAAAAATTGATTAAATAGCGCATTAAATACAAAACCTGCCAGTTTCTCATAAAGAGCTGGTATGTTATAGGCAATTTCTTTTTTTTTTTTAACTTTCACATATTTAATTTATGTTAAATACAAAACATATTAGTTTTCCTTTGGGCACTATTTAACCAATTTTTTCCATAAAGAGCTGGTATGTTTCCCATAAAGAGTTGGTACAAAACATACTATAAAACCTGCCAGTTTCCCATAAAGAGCTGGTATGTTATGAGCAATTTCTTTTTTTATTTTTAACTTTCACATATTTAATTTATGTTAAATACAAAGCATAATAGTTTTCCTTTGAGCGCTATTTAACCAATTTTTCCCATAGAGAGCTAGCATGTCTCCCATAAAGAGCTGATACAAAACATACTACAAAACCTGTCAATTTCTTATAAAAAGTTGGTATATTATGCGCTATTTCACCAATTTTTCATATTTAAACAAATTTATGAAAATTAAAATAACGTATTTGAAAGTTGCGTTTTTATTTGGAAGAATGCATTCCTTGGATGTATTTTTCACCCTGTGGAAAGAGATTCAAAAATCGTCACCCTTTGAGAAGTTAGTTTAAAAACTCCTTCTTTTTGGGAATTTACTCCTTGTTAATGCAGCCACTATATTTATTTTTTGGTATTAATTTTTTTTATGGTTTATGATTTTCTTATGTTTTATCAAAAAGTTAATAACTATTGTAGTTACAATTATGGAGATGTTAATTTGTCGTATGTGTAATTCTTTTATTTTAGAAGAATTGTTATATCAGGGGTAAATTTGAAATTTAATTACATTTAATTCCGAAACACTCATCAAACCAAGTATCAGGAATTGGAATGACGCTAATTCCAATATGTGAACTAAGTTAGATATTGGAATGAAAAGTTTAATTCCAAAACCGGAGTCTATGATTCCATTTCCATTTCCGATTTCAATCTGTAAAACAAGCAGTCCCTTACTCTCATAAATAGCCTTCTGAACTGGGCGTTGCATATGGACATTAGAACTGACTGCTAGAAAGAGCCGTTGCCTTCCATTTTGTTCACTATTGACGTTCAAACCTTAATGAATGCATTGGTCTCACTTACACCCCCTCAAGTTTTATTGTTCTTAAATTCCCTGTTTTTTCTTCACATGAGATTAGCTCATTAATGCAAGATAATGAGGGCGTTTGTGGCACACACTTGTTTCTCTCTCCAGCTACTGATTTTTTATTGTTTGTATTTTTAAATTGGGTCTATTTTGACATTGCCTATTTAGTTTTAGGGGAGGTTTGTGGTATTTTTGAAACCACAGGGGAGGGGAGTGAAACTGTCAGAAACCTAAGGGGAGGTATCTGAAATTATCCCTAATAACAATTTAGACAAAGGGAAGCTAAAGATGTCGGATGTTGGGAAGTTATCTTGCAATGTAATGTGCATTAAAATTTTTAAAGTATCCAACTAAATTTTTTCAATTTTCTCATTGTTGAGGACACCATGGTATCTGCTTCCTGGTGATAGTCTCTAACAATTTTTTTTTTTTTTGTTTATTTTGCGTGACTTTGTGACCTCTATTCACGATAATAAACTAACTTTGAACTTGTTTTAAGAAGATTAAAAAGCATTCTTACCAAATAAAATTGTATTAAAAAATAACTTTTAGGATTTACTTTTAGAAATTCATTAAACAAAATGATAAAGAAATTTTTTTGCTGCTATAACTATCAAAAATAAAAATAATGGAAGTAGTAGTGTTAAGGTAAGACCATCCGGCGGCAGCAAGATAAAGTGGGAAAAGCTCAACCCTTAGTTAGCCAGCAGAAGATGGAAATTAAAGGAAAAATTTTTTTGCAAAATATTTATTTTATATCTTTGTTAACGGATTTTCACATGTTGTATTTCAGCATCAGTTTTGAGACTGAACCAGTTAAATAGCAAATTTGAGGGAATAGGCATGCATAGATATTTATGGAACAGTTTTTATAATTGGTAAGATATGATAGTTTGTGAGTCACAATGTAATCTTTCATATTCTGTAACTCTATTAAATCTAATGATTTCAGATAAGATATATTTGTGATATATTCTATTTATTTTATGCCGTAGATTACTTTGTCCAAGAATCTTTCTTGATGTCCAAGAATGTAGGAGCATTTTTGAGTTTATCAACTTTTCCTTGGAGAAAATCCAAATGAAGAAGTTTTGACTTGAGAGGGTCTTTCATCGTAACCGGGAAGTCTCCCATGCCCGGCAACCAAGAAGATAAAGATTGTTCAAGTTCACTGAAGTGCGATTGAGGAGTTATGGGAGTTTAATTATGACGTACTTTATCTTATACACACATCTGTTCACATTACTAATATAGTGCTTGGGTAAAATTTGTGTTTGAGTTGTTTACCGAGTAGGCATTCTATTTCAGATTTTAGTTTACTAATTGCATTGTTAATGTTTTAGATTCAACTCAACTCGGTTTGCATCTTCTTAAATCATATTGAGTTTAATATAATAAAATAGTCATCTTACTTAGATGACATAGAAGATGATCCATTGATGCCAATATATCCACAAGATTAGAAACGCTAAAGATATAAAATGAGCAAAAACAAATGTTTTGGGGGATATTTTAAAGCCTGCCATGCAACTGTTGTACATTGAACCTAGGGATGTAATTGAGTCGACATGCAAGAAGGATACTCGAGCTCGAGCGAGTAGTATTATTGGAGCTCGATTTCAATGCATTGCTCATAGAATTCGAGCTCGACTCGCATGGGTTCAAGTAAATGCGAGCCTTATCGGGTTTGAATCAGGAAGATTTGGAAATTTTATTTTTCTTGAAAATTTTTTAGCGAAAAGACATTATCGCCCTTCAAAAAAATTTCGTATGACCTGAAATATTTCATAAATTCAATCACTCTTTTGAGCACAAGAGTAATTTTATAATAATAATATATATTGAAGAATTAAAATTAAAAAACTCAATAAGGCTCCATGAGTTTTCCAGCCTTGCTGCTGGATACTTGAACTCCACTTGTTAGGCCTATCAAGTTATTTGAACTCGTCTCAAATTTGGTCAACTCGAATTCGAGTTGAGTTTTTGATTGAGTTACTCGTGAACAGTTCGATTCGATTATGGTACTAATTAAATCTATCCAAAAATTATTAAACAATGTGTAATGCATATGGTGTCACATTACTAAGTGGCAACTTTTTATTTTGATTTCAAATCCTTCTTTTCTTCGTTTTCAGCTTTAAAACTTAGAAGCTCTCTAACTAAAAAGAGACCCGAAAATAATATAAAAAAAAGGGAAAGATGAAACAAGTTGTTATGCGTGTGATGCCAAAGATCTAGTTCAAGGCGCTCCTGAAGGCCATATTTTTTCACTGATCTGAGAAGATACATCCAACGATGAACATTGCTGGCATATATTTATTCTAGATTAATATTAATACCCTTAATGACTACATTATGTTTCCAGGATCCTTTTCTATTCTTAACTTTTTTATGGCCACTCATGTAAAACTGGCCTTTAAATATTATCTAGGAACATAAATTTGTTGAAGTAAATTTTTTATCTTGAATAGAATCTTATGAATATAGTTCAACAATTAGTGAAAAGCAAGAAAGGGATTTTAGTTGGATAATTTAGAAACTAAACATGAATTGGAAAACTAAATTTATGAAAACTATGTTACAAGGAAGAAACAGTTGTCTATTGTGGAAAAACAGAAGAAAAAGAAAAACAAAACCAATAAAAAATGACTGGAATGAAAGAAAAATTAAACGATTCAAAAGAAAATATGATCCTTTTGTTGTTTTAATAACAATTTAGACAAAGGGAAGCTAAAGATGTCGGATGTTGGGAAGTTATCTTGCAATGTAACGTGCATTAAAATTTTACAAGTATCCAACTAAATTTTTTCAATTTTCTCATTGTTGAGGACACCATGGTTTCTGCTTCCTGGTGATAGTCTCTAACAAATTTTTTTTTTGTTTATTTTGCGTGACTTTGTGACCTCTATTCACGATAATAAACTAACTTTGAACTTGTTTTAAGAAGATTAAAAAGCATTCTTACCAAATAAAATTGTATTAAAAAATAACTTTTAGGATTTACTTTTAGAAATTCATTAAACAAAATAATAAAGAAATTTTTTTTGCTGCTATAACTATCAAAAATAAAAATAATGGAAGTAGTAGTGTTAAGGTAAGACCATCCGGCGGCAGCAAGATAAAGTGGGAAAAGCTCAACCCTTAGTTAGCCAGCAGAAGATGGAAATTAAAGGAAAAACTTTTTTGCAAAATATTTATTTTTTATCTTAGTTAACGGATTTTCACATGTTGTATTTCAGCATCAGTTTTGAGACTGAACCAGTTAAATAGCAAATTTGAGGGAATAGGTATGCATAGATATTTATGGAACAGTTTTTATAATTGGTTAGATATGATAGTTTGTGATTCACAATGTAATCTTTCATATTCTGTAACTCTATTAAATCTAATGATTTCAGATAAGATATATTTGTGATATATTCTATTTATTTTATGCCGTAGATTACTTTGTCAGACAAATTGTAATTGGTGATTTTCAACTAGTTTATTAATAATATTTATTGTTTAAGGGTCAATCGAAAATAAAATTTAGATAAAGGGCCAAATGTAAACAACGACAATAGTTTAGGGACTCCCCAAGTTTTTTACCCTTTTTTTCCTTGTTTTTTTGGATTGTTTTATGTAACAAAAAGTTGGGGTCATTGTCCCTTTCACTACCTGCTGATGCAACCTAAGACTTGGCATTGCTCGCTAAATCCTTTGTTCTCTTTGTCCTTGGTGGGCAAAATAGATTATTTCGTGTCTTGACACATAATTCTGTATAAAAATGTTAGTTGTTAGTACTTGGTAGACTTTTCAGGTATCATTATCCCCTCTTGATGACCTTCTGCAGAGATATGGATGTCCTCTATTCAATCTTCATCACCGTTTTAACCTTAACGCTGGTTCTATTGATACCAGTTGCAGCTTTGGTACTCAAATTTTTCATCGAAAAATTTATCAGAAACAAGAAATACCCGCCAGTGGTTGGAACTGTGTTTCATGAACTCTTTTACTTAGACAGACTCTACGATTACCAAACAGAACTGGCAAAAAGACAACCCACTGTTAGATTCCTTGGCCCGGATCAGAGTGAAATATACACAACTGATTCGAGAAATGTCGAGCACATACTTAAAACCAACTTTTATAAGTATTCAATAGGCACAAATAATCAAGATATAGTAACAGACTTATTTGGCCAAGGAATCTTTGCTGTAGATGGTGAGAAGTGGAGGCAGCAGAGGAAGCTAGCAAGCTTTGAGTTCTCAACAAGGGTTTTGAGAGATTTCAGCTGCACAGTTTTCAGAAGAAACGCAGCAAAATTGGTTGCAAAAGTTGGTGAGCTTTCTCAGGCCAGCCAAGTTTTTGACATACATGTAAGTCAACGAAGTGTAGATTACGAAGGTCCTTACAATTAGCATGATCTGGTTGTTAATTCGCCTTTGATTCTTTTTGGAGCCTTTATATTTTAGCTACTTGATATGGTTGCGTGATTAGCAGCTGGCAACACTTCCTTCTGTACTTACCTGAAGAGAATATTAAATGAGCTTCTGATCAGTGATCAAAACCTATAAAGTTGTCCAGCAATGACATGTTTGCATATCCATGTTATTTTTGCTCACTTCAACATTTTGTTGCATAAACTTCATTGTAGATTTAAAGGAATTCCTCCATCAAGATAAACTCCAAATCACTGACTGTGTTCACTTTTTAATGCTGAATGACATGTTCAGGACTCTGCTATTCCGTTTTTCTTCATTTAAAAAATTCAAACCAATCTGAAATGATTGGTTTCTTTAGTCAAGAGTAAGATATACCAAAAAATTTTTGATTATTTTGATAATAACCAAAATAAATGGTTAGCTTCTGTTGAGATTCACATTTCCTTTTAATTTCTTTTAACTTTTCCTCTCACTTAATCTTGTCTGTGGAGCTGCTTCCTTGCAGGAATTGCTAATGAGATGCACGCTGGATTCAATATTCAAAGTTGGATTTGGAGTAGATCTGAATTGCCTTGAAGGATCAGGCGACGAGGTGACCAAATTTATCAGGGCCTTTGATGACGCAAATGAACTAATATACTGGCGCTATGTCGATCCATTCTGGAAGCTCAAACGGTACCTCAATGTTGGCTGTGAAGCGTCCCTTAAACAGAACATCAAAGTCATCTATCATTTCGTAGATGAGTTGATCAAGACCAAGAGGAAACTGTTAGAGCTGCGAAATGATTTTGTGAGTATACTGCAATCGCATTGTAATTCATATATTACTTGCTGTAAATTGTGAGCACAACAAAAGGAAACTGTCAGTAGACAACCATCCTCTAATGCAGGATCCCAACAGTCAATACCATAAAATACATCAACCTTTTCCTTTCAGCAAAATGCATTCATGCTGGAAGAACTGGTAAATCATTAGCTTTTCAGTCAGAAAGAACTGAAGTATATTGACTAGATTTAAACAGGCAAAACATTAAGGATGGAGGCTTTTTTTGAAGTCCCCCCCACTCCTTTCCCTGGGGGATGGCAATATTTCACATTGGAAAGATCTAGTAACTACATGAATTGGATTCATGTAAAGTAGTTACATTTACATGAGAAATGAATATGCTGAGGATGAACCATGCTAGAAACTGATTATCATCTTGATGTTCTACTTCAAGAATGACAAGGAGGACATCCTCTCAAGGTTTCTGGTGGAAAGCAGGAAGGATCCAGAGAAGATGACTGATCAATATCTACGGGACATTATTCTGAATTTCATGATTGCAGGAAAAGATGCTACTGCAAACACTCTTTCATGGTTTTTCTATATGCTTTGCAAGAACCCTCTGATCCAGGAAAGAGTTGCAGAGGAGGTGAAAGATGTTACAGGCAATCAGTGCAGTGAAAATAGTATTGATGATTTTATGGCAAGTATTACTGACGAAATACTAGAGAAGATGCATTATCTTCATGCAACCCTGACTGAGACCTTGAGGCTATATCCTGGAGTTCCAGTGGTAATTACTTTTGAATTTCATGAAATCTATTGGATGATTGTTTCTTTTCACTTATAATGTGTTTCTGCCGGATACTTTCTGAACCGTTTGCTAAACAAAGGACTTTGAAATTTGAATAGAAACTGGGATGCAAAGTGGTAGAGGCTCATGAACTATGACAAAATCACTTTAAACATTTTCAACACACAAATCCAGTCAATAGATGCAAATGTTTATGAAGATTTCTGCCTGAGCTCATCAACTGCCTGCACAATATGATGAAACATGATTAACACATGCTTCTCCCATCCAGACGCTTCGTACTACTGCATCATGAAGTCTTGCATTGGAATTGACATCTCTGTCCTGTTGATAGCTCTCTATTCTGTAAATTACAGGACGGAAGGTGCGCAGATGCTGATGACATTCTTCCTGACGGTTCTCAAGTGAAACAAGGGGATGGTGTTTACTACATGTCCTATGCGATGGGCAGGATGCCTTACATTTGGGGAGAAGATGCTGAGGATTTTCGACCTGAAAGATGGCTCAAGAATGGAATCTTCCAACCTGAATCGCCATACAAATTCGTAGCTTTCCATGTATGTAGCATCCTTTGACAATTTATTTTTCTAGGCATGTCGTTTGATCAACAATCGTGGATCATCTAACTTACCAAATTTCCCTTCTCAGGCTGGACCTCGAACATGTTTAGGCAAAGATTTTGCTTATCGCCAGATGAAGATACTGTCAGCGGCCCTTCTTTACTACTACAAGTTCAGATTAGGTGATGATGCAGCAAGGGTAACTTACAGAACAATGTTTACACTGCACATCAAAGGAGGCCTTCATATTCAAGCTATTACAAGAACTGGCCTGAGGAAAACATAATTGCAGGCACCTTATAGCCAAATACTATGATGAAGTTGTACAGTTTGACAGTATTAATCATAGTGTACGTGAGGCAATGAAGCACTTATGTAGCTTCCATCAATATATAAGACTTGATTGTGTGGTCTTAGACAAAAGTTGATTGTTATTTGAGCAATCTCTAGTTGAATAACGGAACACAAGTTATACCAAAGAGCTACAGGTAAGTTCTATCGAGTCATTGAGTGCTTTTGTTGTGCATGGCCCTGAATCTGAAACGCCATGAATTGTTGGAGTTTAAATCTTAATTAGCCATAGAAGTTGGGGGAAAATGATGTAGGAACCAGGGGCGATGTGTATAATGCAGTTGGATGATGGCGTGCAATGGATTGCTTCGTATGAAAAGCACTTTCATCGTGGAAATTGAATACCACATAAGAATCGGCAATTACAGTTACCCTTTCAGCAAATTATGATCAAAAGCAATTCTAGAGCTGGTAACATAGGGGTTCAATCGCTCGCAACACCGTTTAATATCCATATTCTATTTGATTCTCTTTACTCTGAACGACAACAGAATATGTGAGAAACACCCCCCCTCCCTCCCCAACAAAAAAAAGGGACGCCAGCAAAATACTATCCCAGAGTGTGTGATTTAGAGTTCTCCAAAGACTTGGGAAAAAATGGAAGAATTAATCAAAACAAAAATATCAATCTTGTATACACCATCATTGGATATCTTATCATAATTGAATTTATAGTAATTATGTAAAATTTAAATTTAAAATTCAAATTTTATATATGTGTCATGATTTAACCGTGATAATAATATACGTGGTGATTAGTTGGTCATCTAGGAAGAATTTTGTGGTTTTTTACGCCTTGGATTTTTAGTTGCTACTTCGCATGCTACAGCAGAGCTGATGTAACTTGCCCACCTCCATTTCAGGGAAGCTATGAAGCTAAAAGTTTCTTTAACTCCACAAAAAGGAATTTAAAATAGGCTCGTGTAAGGTACAAATTAATGTACGAGTACAAGTTTTCTGGCCTTTATTCTTGATATTGGCTTCGGTATTGACTTCTTATCCTCAGCACGTATGCTCCAATGGTTCAATCGATCTTTATTCTTGATATTGGCTTCGATATTGACTTCTTATCCTCAACACGTAAGCAACTTAGTGGTATAAAACCCGGCCTAGTCCAACGGTTCAATCGATCGAGTAAATTTCAAGCAGTAGACTCATGGACTTGTCAACAGACCGACGGTTCGAACATAATATCTCACGTATAGGAGTAAAGTATAATCACCATTAGACCAATAGTCCATTTGTTGGTTGTTTAGTCATTATATTATATATTAAACTTTTATTCTTATTTTATTTCTTCAAAACAAAATTTATTTGGAATCTTTTAATAAAATTTTATTATTCCTCAAAGTCTATAAGATATGAAATGAATCTAAAAAATAACATATTATACAAATCATTTTAAAGGCAAATATTGTTCTCAATAACCTTTTGTATTTAAAATTTGTACATAAACTAGATAATTACACTTCGATAAAATTTTATACTTGAAGTTTGGCAGATTTCTAATTAAATTTAGGTTTTATTGATTCTTATAAGAATTAATTATTTTATAATAAATTAGACTAACTAAACATTTACTATGATATCCTTATATTATTTAAGAATGAGTTTTATTCAAAGAGGGGGGGGTTTGAATTTCAACTGCATGGATAAGGGTTTTTTGGAAATAAAATATTGTGTAGTTTTTTTAAAACTTTTGGTACAATTGAGGGCAACATGTGTTTAAATATATTTACTGAAATGCCCTCATTTTGGTACATTTAAAGTTTTGATTTATGGAGATATTTGGGTATTTCTAGAATATGAAATTATATTGCAACAGTTTTTGTATAGAATACAACTTATATAAGTTTATGTGTTGGTGTAATTATTGAAATAGTGCTATAAATACATTTAATTGAAGTGTGAATTTTGTTGTGCAATTAACACAAATACACTTTGTTAAAACCAACCGTTAGAGGATATTTTTTTGTTTGAAACAACTTATATATGCTCTTGGACGATTTTCAACTGACATCTGTAAAGGTCTTTTGAAAATGGTAAATTTGTAAAAGCATTGATAAAGTAAGGTATACAAGTGTGTGCTGCAATTATAATGCACTAGTATTAGTTCTGTCATATTTGATGACTATTTCTTTCCAGAATGTACTATTATTTGTCCAATGAAAAATTCTCTTTAATCATATGTACCAAACACCCACGCGATATGCAGGCACTTCTTCCCTAGTAGTTTGTTATAGTTTCAAGTATATAAAAAATTATGAGACATAATATTTAAGTATATTTAATGGCCTATCAGTTGCTCAGTAATCCATTGATTCACTTTCTTCGTTAAGTTACTCCCCGGACCGGGTTTAATAATGGGTTTAATAACTATGGCGCTGCCCTACAAAAACTCCTCTCGGAAAAAGAACAAAAGATCAGGTTAAAAAAAAAAAGGCAAATTATCCATTTGGCCTTTGAACTTTTAATTTAGGTAAAATTAAGCCCTCTAACTATTTGTAATCAACTTTTAGCCCTCGAACTTGTAAAATTGGGAACCCGTGGCTCTTTTGACTAGTTTATTCGGTTTTGCAACTGGAAAGCCAAATCACACGAATGGTGGTATGCTTTAAAGAAGGGCATTTTTGTCCGCATCTTCTAAGCAAAAAGTGAATAACTCCATCTTCTTCCCTTTCCCTAATCCAACCAAACAAGCATAGATTTCCAGAGTTCTTAAGCTTCTGTAAATCGAGGATAACTGAGTCCGACTCAGTGCATCGGGTTGAATTCAGTAGTGAGTCTGGGAGACAGGATTCGGATTCCGTAAAAAAGTCCAACTCATTCGTGGGGACGGAGGAATACGTGGCTCCCGAGATTTTAATTGGGAAAGGTCACGATTTCGCGGTGGATTGGTGGTGCTTGCATGAGATGCTCTACGGGATGACGCCATTTAAGGGGTCATTGAAGATAGGGGTGGTAATTTTCGACACGACCTGAAAACACGACATGAATCTAATACGAAATTAATGGGTTTGGGTTGAGATTTCGTGAGTTCGGGTCAGAATCGGGTCGAACATGATGGACCCGAAAAGAAAATGGGTCAACCTGTGGATGACCTGATATAACCCGATAACCCGTTTACGAATTAAAAATAATTTAATAAATATAAAATTATTTTATCTAACTAAACTAAGTTATTCTTTTTTTCCAAAGGCATTAATCACTTAATCCTAAATGAATTTATTTAACTTGTGTGAAATTGAAATTATTATATTTGGACAAATAATGTATTATATTAATTTTACTTTTATACTGTTTTAATTTATTTTATATTTGGTTTGGGATAAAATACTTTTACGGTGTTTTAATTTATTTTAGATTTGGTTTGGGATTATTTATTTAAATTTTTATTACTTGATTATGTAATTAGTCTTGTACGAAATTGATTTTATTAGAAATTACAGTGATAAATTAATAAATTAAAATTAAGTTTCGGATCATTTCGGATCGACCTGCCAACCCGAAATTTTCGGGTTCCTATCAGGTATTCTGACCCGTTTCGGGTTGGCGGGTCAGATTCGAGTCAACGAATTTTCTATTATACCCGAGTCTCAACCCGACCGGCCAACCTGAAATGACCCGATTGCCACCCCACTTGATCACCAATGTTTGCCATAATTTAATGACCTATCAGTTGCTCAGTAATCCATTGATTCACTTTCTTCGTTAAGTTACTCCCCGGACCGGGATTAATAATGGGTTTAATAACTATGGCGCTGCCCTACAAAAACCCCTCTCGGAAAAGAACAAAAGATCGGGTAAAAAAAAAAAAAAAGAACAAAAGAAGCTAAAGAAAATTAATTCGGGGCCTTCGGGCAGCAACTTGCAAGGTGTGTTACTCTTTTCTTTGGCACCCAAAACCCCCAAAACCAATAGCCGTACATTTTGCAGAACAGACGTTGCAGCTTCGCCATTAGTCGGTAACTCAACATCTATGGATTCTAGCTGTTGTTGTCCTGCTTCTGTGGCTGTCGCTTTTCTGTTTCTTGCGACTATTGCTTTTGCTGTTCGTATAATCACTAGCAAAATTCCAGAAAGGCTTGAGAAGAAGAAGAGGAGGCACCATCCAATTGGTGGCACCATGCTCAACCAGCTGATTAATTTCAATAGGTTGCACCATTATATGACTGAGTTGGCTACAAAGTACAAGACTTACAGATTGATCAGCCCTTTTCGTAATGAAGTTTATACTTCTGATCCAGCTAATGTTGAGTATATCCTCAAAACAAACTTTGAAAATTATGGCAAGGTATGTAGCGATAATTCTTGAAACATTCTGCTTAAGTATTCAATTTTGCATGTTTTTCTTGATTAGTTTCGGTGCAGTATTCTTCATTAAATAAAAATTGAATCTTTATAAGTTATGTGAGGTTTAGGGTTTTGAGATAACATTGGCACAGATTCTTCGAAAATGGATTGTCAAATAAGGGCATGCCTAGGTAGAATAGCTAGTTTCAGCATTTTCCTTCTCCTGTAAATTGTTACGTCTGGAAGGAATGATGGCAGCTGGAGTGGTACTGTCAGGAGTTTGTTATGCCACATCAGCCAGGTGGTTGGGTTAGTTACGCCATGTCAGCCATGCTGTTAGTTAGTTAGTAGCCGGAAATGGAAGGCTTGTGCAGGAAGGGAAAGTTTGTGCCGGAAGTCTGTTACGGAAATAGAAAGGTTCCTGAATTGGAAGTCGGTTAGCAAATGTGTATACAAGGAGCTAGGGGGATGGGAGGAAAGACAGTCTGAACATTCTTTTCAATTGTATTCATTTCCATTCTCTTTTCTCATCTCTGCAATAATACTATCTCTCTCTCTCTCTCTCTCGAGTTGTCTTCTCCAATCTGCAACTCCTGTTTGAGAGTATTTCCCTGTGATCTCTACTGTCCTTCGCATCATAAATATGTCCTTGCCCAAGAATGAATTCCGAGTTCCCTGTGGACATGAACATCCAAACCTTGGCAAGAATTTATCAGGCCTCTGGCCTAACCGTGAATAGAGGAGGAGGAAGAAAATTTGAGGAAGCAACTGGCGCTAATATTCCGTAACATGTATGCTCCTTTTTTCTTTATATTCTGCCTTTAAAGGTGGCATCTTTGAGACCAGAATAGGATCTATTTTGGTTTTCCTTTCTCTCAAAGAATATGATTATCTGTACCAATGGTGGACCTGAACTACGTCACTTAAAGGCTGGTTATCTTATGTACCTTCTGCTGGGGCCATAGGTAGACCCTTCTGCTTCTTATGCTTCTCACTTGTAGTGAGTTTTGCATCCCTTCATATTGGCATGCAGATTGTATTTTCTGTTACTAAAAAAAATTTTAAGTCTCATTATATTCTTTCCAGCCTTACTTATATGATAATATTAAAGGGAACTAAAATTTGAAGTGTTTCAAAAAATACAGGGACTGTACAATTATACCATATTGAAGGACCTATTAGGAGATGGCATATTTACAGTTGATGGTGACAAATGGCGGGAACAAAGAAAGATATCAAGCTTTGAATTCTCCACAAGGGTATTGAGGGATTTTAGCAGTGTCATCTTCAGAAGAAATGTGGCAAAGCTAGCAAACATAATCCGTGAAGCTACAAATTCTAATCAAACATTTGACATTCAAGTAAGTGCACCACAAAACTAAACCAGATAAATTTATTTGACTGTACCTTACAACTTGTATTGATTTATGCAGGATCTCTTCATGAAAGCAACATTAGATTCTATATTCAGAGTTGCATTTGGGGTTGAGCTGGACAGCATGTGTGGTTCAAATGAAGAAGGCAAAAAGTTTAGCAATGCATTTGATGATGCAAGTGCTATGAGTCTTAGACGATATGTTGATATCTTTTGGAAGATCAAAAAAGCGCTTAATATTGGAACAGAGGCCAAGTTGAAGGAAAAAATCAGAGTGGTTGATGATTTTGTGTATAAGTTGATTCGTAGTAAGACTGAGCAAATGCACGAATCATCGGATGATTGTTCTGTAAGTATATGGTTCAATGCCTCTGGGGTGTGTTTGTGTGTGGTTTTTCCCCCCTTTTTGTTGGGGTAAAGTTTCCACTTTGTAATGTTATTCTATTTCTTGTGACAGTGGAAAAAGGAGGACATTTTGTCAAGATTCTTGCAAGTGACCGAAACAGATTCAAAGTACTTGAGAGATATAATACTAAATTTCATAATTGCAGGCAAAGACACGACAGCAGCCACTCTTTCCTGGTTTATTTATATGCTTTGCAGGCACCCAGATATACAGGAGAAGGTTGCACGAGAAATAAAAGAAGAAACTAATGGTCGTAAGACGACAGATATTGCAGAATACACTTCCGAATTGAGTGAAGAAGCCCTAGAAAAGATGCACTATCTTCATGCAGCATTGACTGAGACTTTAAGATTGTATCCTGCAGTTCCAGTGGTAATCAATATTTTTCCATATGAAACAGAAGCCACTCTATACTTGCTGACATGTTTATATTTGATGAGTTGTTGACTTCCACACCTATGTTTTGCTTTCTCAACCTCAGAAAAAAAAAGACCAAAAGATAACTTTATCTTCTACATTTTCCTGGTCTTTCTGGTGCCATCTGATTTGGAAGTAGGTTCTCCAATAAATAATTCTTCAATGTATTGAAATCTCTCTTACAACATGTCCTCTAAGTATTACACTGTCCTTTCCTTTATGTTCTGTAGGAAACATGTTCGTGTGATTCATTTGACTGGGACTGGATCTCATTAAAGTTCATCCCTTATTCTAAGATATAGGCATGCCTTGGTATTCTACTATTCGGCTTTTTCTGGATTAAATGATATGTAACATCTGGTTTCTGTACGTAAAACCTCACTCAGCAGGAACAAAGTGGTTCCTAAGCTTTATGACCTCTAGTTCAAGGACCAAGCCCTTGTGGTGTTAAAGTGGTTTCCTATAACATGCTGGTTTCTTTTTCATTAGATATCTCGCATCATCCTAGCTCTTAATATTGTTACTATTCCCCCATATTCTTTTGTTACAGATGGCAATTCAGTCCATAGTTTGAAAGATTTACCAAGTTAGGAACTTTCATCTGTTTTCATGATAGGATGCAAAAATATGCTCGTCAGATGACATACTGCCGGATGGTTTCTCTGTGAAGAAAGGAGACATGGTGGCTTTCCAACCATATGCAATGGGGAGAATGAAATTCATATGGGGTGATGATGCTAAAGAATTTAGACCAGAGAGATGGCTTGACGTGAATGGTTGCTTCCGGCCTGAGAGCCCATTTAAATTTACAGCCTTCCAGGTTAGCCTTGCAGCATGGAACAAATTCTCCTACTGTACATAATGTTTTAAAAGCAGTTATATTTAGGACATTAAGTTCATTTTTGTTTTCTCACAGCCACTGCTTGCAAACATGTATGCTAAAGTTCATTCATGGATTACACGTCTTCTGTAACATATTCCATTTTGTAGACCTCAAATTGGAGCTTCCAGAACATTCAGATGTGAAAACCATTGGCTAGTCATTTTGAACATGAAGTAACAAGCTTATAGTTTACATAGAAAAACTGAAGCAGTTATCTGATCATGAACAGGCGGGCCCACGAATTTGTCTGGGAAAGGAATTTGCTTATAGGCAAATGAAGATCTTTGCTGCTGTTCTATCGCGATTCTTCGTCTTTAAACTGGGTGATGAGAGGAAGGCTGTGAACTATAGGACAATGATTAACCTTCACATTGATGGGGGACTACATGTTCGTGCCTTCCACAGATTAGGCTGCTAGGACAGATATACTTCAGATCGTTAATATTGGAATCGACAAACTCCACTGATATGGCTTCTAGGACCACTATATGTGTGTGTGTGTGTGTGTGTGTCAGATTGTCAATCTTCCGATTGACAAAAACTCCACGTTTGTGCGTCAGAACTATGAAAGCTTGCAAAAGATCTGTTCCCTTTAGATCGCAGGCTTTGCACTACCTGGATGAAAGGGAAAGCTTGAAAGTGGAAATAATTTCAAGTAGTTTGCAAAATACGGACAAATGTTTTATTGGTATAAGATCTGTTTCTACTCCATGACTTGCAAGAAGCATAACACATCTGGTACATCGCAACAGATGGAAATATTGGGGATGGGTGTGAAATATGGTTCGTTCTGGATTTCATGTAGCAGTTAATTCATTCCTGTGCCAATTGTGAACATTGCTGTATCCGGGAGGTTAAGTTCATCATTCTGTAATCTGCTCCTTGAAAAACTAATGTTCCTGAAGACCTCAAAGACTCGCAGGTTTAAAGCCTGAAATTGTGAACCTACCAAGAAAGCCTAACAAAATCTTGTGGTCTCTGTTGCTTTCCCATATTCACTAGATTACAAGAAAAAGACGGTTCTTCTTAAGCTCAGAACTAAAAAATCAAAACAAGGTTGCTTAACTCACTCGTATTTATCCTATAAAAGGTTCAAGACAAAATTTAGTAGAAGTGAAGCATTTTCCTCGCAAAAGAACGCACAGCAAAGAAACAAGCTCACAACTTGTGTGGTATGGCCACTGTACTTGACATGAACGGTTAGGGACCAGACAATGCCTCCCACAAAAAGCCAAACTCGGAAATGTCTTCTGGTAAAGGTGGCCCTAACATGTAAAACATATTTCATCCTTTCACAGGAGGTACAGATAGTTCATACGTGTTTGCTTGCACAGAGAATAAGAGAATTATTAAGTATGCATTGAACTATGAAAGTTCTGACAAAATTGCAGTAGCTGGAAGCTGAACCCCGGGCCTTGATGTCCAGCCTTTGCGTCTCCTGTAGGCCTCAACTGCCTGTATACGCAGTCTTTCTTGTGATGCATCCTGAGTGGTCTTGAATACCTGAACTTACACACATTAGGACTAAATATACCTCGTTGGTGTTACTATGATGTATTAGACTAAGCTAATATCCTTGTCTCACAGTACCTTAGGAACTGCAACAAGCTTTGGGGGAGCTTCGACAACCTCTCCAAATTTTACTTCATCCTGAGCTGGGAAGCCCACATTCTCCTCTTCCCTGATCTTCTTGCGTTTCTTTTTTCTTTCTTCCAAGCGCCTGAAGAAATCAAGACCTTGATTAACTTAGTAGGTAAAAGTTAGGCTTTCATACATATATGTACTCTTCTGTATCATAATATAATACTAATGGATCCATGGGCTAGGAAAATGTGTCAAAGTAGCAAATATTACCAAAATCCTAAAGAAAATGTGGCACCAAATTCGATTCAACCATCCTCCCCCACCAGACCCCTTCTCTCTTTAAACCTAACCTCCAAACTGTTCCATAACACCACCATCCTCACCCGCCATATGTAATCCAACTGCAGGCAAGTTTGTGTTAATGGAAATTTGTTTGTGATTCTCTCTTCTTCTTCTTCTTGTATTTCCTTTTTTTCGGTCCTAAAGAAAATGTAGCACCAAATTCGATTCAATCATCCTCCCCCACCAGATCCTTTCTCTTTTTAAATCTAGCCCCCCAACCATTCCATAACACCACCATCCTCACCCACCATATGCAATCCAACTACAGGTAAGTTAGTGTTCGTGGTAATTTGTTTATGATTCTCTCTTCTTCTTCTTCTTCTTCTTCTATTTTTTTTTTTGGTAACAAATGTTTCTCCACGTGCCTGTGCCTGTGTCTTTTATTCAAACTGTTTGCATGTGTTAGGACTTTAAAGGAGGAAGGAGTAAACATATAATCCAATTCCTTTTCTCCCTTTGTTTAAGGATTATATCACATTAACTATAATATCGGGGGAAGTACAGACCAATTAATAGCCTGCCTTGTATCTTTGTAATTGTTAGGCAAAAGGGGTCACACTGTTTGTTGGAAAAGGGTTATTGTCATTGAGTTCTCAACAAAATGGTTTTTTCTTCATAAATTCTGGAATTCCAGAAGCCAATTTGTGCTATCAACAAACCTGAGTGATTGTAAACTAACTGTAAAAACTAATATAACTGAATCCTCTACCCAAACTAGACAGTAATGGCAATAAAGCATGCCAAGCCAAACCGGTTACCATCTACTCATTACCAGGAAAGTCACATAACCATAAATTATTCGATTCTTTTAAGTGATAAAAAACCACTAAAAGAAAAGAAAAGTAGATAATAAAAAGATTATTCACATGCAGATATCTTTCATATATCATGGAGAAAAGAAAAAGAATAAGATGAACTGCATTAGATTTTGTTGGCACCAAGTACAGACAGTGGTGGATAAAGAATATACAGATACTTACTGTTTCTTGCGCTCTTTCCTTTTGGATCCAGTAACACCCAAGTCCCCTGATGCTTCAAATCGAAGGTCATTGACTTGCTTCCTTTTCCTCCTTTTCTTTTTCATTTCATTCACATGACTCTGAACAGCCTCATCATCAACATCGGGATGTTTTACCACTGAAATCCCATCTTTTTTATCTTTTCTGATCCCAGTAATTTTAGATCCAACTTTATCCTCTGAATCAAGTCTCTGTTAAAATCCACCCATAAAAGTAGAACTCATAATTTAAATTAAGAAACATAAGAAAATCTCCTAGTCATCCAGCACGCATGGAAAATTAATATCTTAAGGCGGTAAACATCAGAGTCTCCACAAAGTAACAAGAATATGTGAATCTTTGGGAGGAGGACACCAGATACAAAAGCCAAATTTACTCATCATTTACATCTTGAAACATGGAAATGGAGAAAACACACATCCAAAGGTGAAGGTTTACCATTCAAATCATGGAAGTACAACACTGAGAAAAAGATTCTCTTCACACAATTTTGCAAGAGTCACACGTAAATATATATCCTGCTATTCTCCCACTTGCTTATCTAAAGTTTGAACAAACATAAAAATCCAAACAAATTCAGCTCATATGCCATCACACTTTTAGGTGCTTTCACAAAGCATCCATTCCTCTTGTTTAGCAGTTACTCAGTTAAAGAAATAGTAGTGCTTGCCCAATGACATACGTATAAGCATGCAGACAAACAAATTAAACCCTGCTTTGGTAGTGGTTCTTAGCCCGGCTAGTTTGCTCAAAGACAATGCATAAATGCAATTTGACTCAAAGTGGAAAAGATCACAGAGATTCAAATTATCCTGAGAAACCAGTTATCAGAATACAAAACATTAGTTTTTTTCTATTCCTTTTCATTGAGTAAACCTGCACCTGACTAACACAGACATATCCACACACACATATACACAGAGTTTCACATAACTGAGGATACCTTGATAATCCAAACAAGTTACACGAATTATCATCAAAATCAAAATCAAGTGGCAGCTGATTTCGGGGCCAAAACAAAACTTAAATACCCCACGCAAGGAACTCGTCTTCTGAATTTGAGAAATGATACATCCTACTCCCATATACACAGGCAAAGGGCAAAAAGGAAAAGAGAAAAAAAAAGAGAAGAAACTACCATAGATTCCATATTATCATGATAAACCACCTCAAATTCAAAAGATACATACCAGCTCTGTATCTCTACTATTTTCTCCTTTATTCTTCTGCGCACCGCTAATTGCTGCCTTTCTACTCTCTAGAAAACAAAGAAAAATATTAAAAGAACAAAATTCTACAATACAAATTTCAGCACACAAGCAAACATTGAAGATAGAAGAATGGTTACCAGCAAAAGACATGATTTTGCGTAGTTTGGCGGGAAGAGCGTCGAGGGAGGAGCGATCAGGTGGGGGTGGAAGTCCAGTTTGGCCGGCTCCATGAGCTGCTCTGTAATTCTTTTCTCTTCTTCTCCTCCCCTTTCCACCCATATCTGGATAAAGCAACTGCCTAAAACCCTAGAGGTCTCTTCGTCTTCTTCACTGGTCACTAACAAATTTTTTCAATTTTTTGCATCGATTTGATACATCGCTTCTCAATGGTTATTTCTTTTTAAGTCCTACGGCTGTACTCTGCTATTTTTTTAATTAGTTTTTCATAGAAAAATATGACGTAGGATCTATGAAACAAAAAATAATTGAAAAATATGTTTACGAAAAATATAAAGAATTTTCCTTATAAAAAAACTAATCTAAAATTTTTTTCTTGAAGTCCTAAACATGTGACATTTTTTTAACAAACGAAATCCGTTTGAATTAACTGTTTTTTAGGGTGTTTTTGAAAAATTTTATTGTAGCAGAATTTTTATAGTATAATTTGGAATATTTTTAAAAAATATTTTGGAATATTTAAGAGTAGAAGAGTTTTTAGAATATATTTTGAAATATTTTTTAAATATAAAAAAAATTTAGACTACTTTTTAGAGTAGCTTGTAGAATACTTTTTAAAAATTTTAATAATATTTAAAAAATTAGTTTCTAAAAAATTTAGCAATCTAAATAGAGCCAGAGTTTGTTTGGGTAGCATATTATTTGGGGTAATTTTTTCAAACAAAATATTATAACAATTTTTTGGTGCGATGTATGTAAAATAAATATGTGATTGAAAACTGTATTTATGTTATAAGAAAATAAATTTGTGCAAATAATCCACTATCCAAACCTTTTTTTGGTAAAAAAAAGAATACAGTGAAGATAAATATTATATATAATGACAGTGCATATAGTAGTGGACAAGAACCTTGAATATGTCTAATATATTTAAAAAATTAATGCTCAAATTAAAATTAAAATTAAATGGCACACATTCATTATACAAATTTAATTTTTTTTAATAGGGGAGTTGTGTGATCTAAAAAATGGTGAGAGAAATGGAGATTAAAATCTTGAAAGAACACTGTTCAATTAATTAATTAATACTGCGGAGTTGTAGAAAAGTTTTCCAATATTTCAAATACCCATTTCCAAATGCGTTTGAAAAGGATACTTTTGTTGTTTTTGTAGGCTGATGATGCAAATTCCAACACAACCCTTTAATTCTTTTTCCTCACCCCTAAAACAATGGGTAAGAAATAAGTACAATATATTTTAGGGATAATTTCAGATACCTCCCCTTAGGTTTCTGACAGTTTCACTCCCCTCCCCTGTGGTTTCAAAAATACCACAAACCTCCCCTAAAACTAAATAGGCAATGTCAAAATAGACCCAATTTAAAAATACAAACAATAAA